ATATATATATATTTTCTAGAAAAAGGTAAGTGAATACATCTATTGTACTGATTTGTTATCCAGTCACGTCTGCGTGAAAAGTTATACTCGAAATTATTAATATCGTTTAGTGTCTATTCAAATCGCATGCCATTTTTCGATCATTAATACCTCTCCTGAAGTGTACGCAATAGTCCACATTTATTGTATAATGTTGTGAACACTGTATAGTATCTTCTCAATGGCTTAGAAAAATATATGCGATTCCTTCCATGGAAAACACTCAGGTTTGTAACCCGAAAGCCCCAGACGGAAATGCAACGGTAGATCGGGCTCAAAGTTATTCGCGAATCGGCAAACTTTTTGGAACCCGAATATCCTTTTCACGTGAATATAAAATTAGAAGAAGACGTTATTTGCTACCAAATTTGTACAAGAAAATTTTTACTTGCCTTTACTACGGGCTTTATTTGAATTTATAAGCGTAGCTAAAATCAATAGAAATACGCAGAATACTTAATTAGTCATGTTTTATCGAGTGCCGTTTTTTGCAGGTGATCGCAAGGACGTTAATTCGAAAGCTGGTATCCTGCGTGTCTGTAATAGATAAGGAAGAAGACGTGTCGAGCACCGGATCAATTGATTTATTGTCCTGATCTTTCGAACTCTTAATCAGAGATAAGAAGCAGCAATCAAAAGGAGGGTAATTATAGTGGCCAAAGGCTAATCAACTGTCAGCGATCGTCAAGGGGAACGAAACATCAACCAAAAAGGATGGAGGTCGGGGGGGGGGCAATTATAGTGGTAAACGCTAATTAACTGTCAGTGAAGACGGCGGTCGTTCGGGGTCATGAACAGTAATTAGTGTAATGCTTTGTCCCCAGGGTAGAGGGTCCCGGTGATCCTGCCTCCTCTTCTGGCCGGTTCGTAGTGGGGTCCTTTTCGTTTGCAATTTTGACGTAAGGCTTGGCTTTGTTCCGTCGTTTGCCTACATAATGACGTCAGCAAAGCGAAAACGATCTTATCACTAAAAAGAACCGTCTATTTGACCACCGTAGAATGCATCTTACCACTGTTATTGTTGGTGTAGTTCTTTCGTCCATTTGTTAGCTGGCCTTTTAACGGTTTGTGCATGTCCACAGACATGAAAGTTAATCCTTTTCGTACTCCGTAAGAGAGGTAGTGGAAATCTATCCTTGTGCCTTTCCCCTCAAAGATGCTAGGCTTCTTATCGGCGTCGCAACTTATGCAGAGAAGTCTACGCTTTATAGATAAGATGGGAATATATACCACCACCTCGGAGAAGGGCCACCTCTAATACAAAAATCATGATAAAAGCGGTTCTATTGGGGAGATCTTTTAAGGAAACGGACGATGCGGTTGAAATA